GAATCTCGGAGGTACTGAATTTCAAGTGAAACAGTCTGTAAACGACTGGAAAGGTTTAGTTTTGGTTCCAAAGATTGTAGTAACACTTTTATTCGTCTAAATTAGAAGTTGAGCAAATAAATTACACTATATTTACACACATAGTACTCGTTCTTAGTCATCGAACCGATACATTGCTATTGAAAAGGAAAGAGTTTTACTCGTTCGCTTTTCGTTTTAAAATTCTTTCTTTAGGTTTGGGAGCTTTCCCTGCTAGTTCCGGACTCGTGGCAATGTGATGGTTGACAAGGATTTGACGCAATCTCGTGTCCTTTTTCTTCACATGGTCAAAATGCTGGGACTGGGTATTGAATTCAGAGTGTATTCCTTCAATCCCTTGTTCACCGTAGAATCCAAGGCCCATGTGCCATTGTCGAAGAAAAGGGCAAACATGTTCTTCTAGCATATGCAGCTTTGGTGTGATTGTCATGTCTGGAAATTTTTCCCTAAGGAACTGAAGAAAATTTGTGATGTCTTCCTCTGCAACAAGAAAACAAGAAAAGGTGGACTTAAGACATGATCTTATTGCTGTATTCATGTTTTTCCATGAAAGTCAGGTTTTTTCTTTCAGTTACCTAGCTTATCAATCTTGCCATCATTGAGATAGTCTGCACTGTCATAGACAAAGTGGCAAGCAGCAAATAACTTAAAAACTTGTTCAAATTTCATGCTAATTTCTCTTGCTTGAGAAAGGAGGGAAGGACACAGCTCCTCTGTTTTTGTCAGCACAGCACTGCATTAAGTTTAATGATGTTGTCTTCCTACCAAAAAAACAAATGCAACAATTCAATGAAATTTTGTGACTCAACAAATTCCTACTCTAAGGGTAGAATTTGTGTTACCTTGCAGCAAGTGTGTACATGATTACCAATGAATGATTTTCCATGATAAGCTTGTCTCTCAACATTCATTTTCTTGAGAACCTCATCCAAATGAACCGATAGTGGTCCATTGGCTTTCTCAAAGGCAGCCAATTCCATTTGTTCATCTGCAAGCTTTTCCTATAATGTTGAGATAATACTATTTAAATCTGGGTTATTTGACTTACTGCTTAGTTGCTATAATTTGATAATTTGAGCCCTTGTAATATTACAAATAAATGATCTATAAAATAAAATCATAACTTCTTTAACTAAAAAATTAAGATGGGTTTGAAACATGTAAAATGGATTTGGAGGATTGTACAGCTATGATACTGGAAAGCACCAATATATTATTTTTACCTCCTCCTTTGCATTTCCAAGGAGTTTGTCTATCTCCTCCTGTAGTAGTGTAAAGTAGGCAGGCATGATATCAACATTAGCATGCAGACTTTGTAAATTCAGCAACTCCTGTAAATAATTGGCTTTTTCATTAAATTGTTGTGCTTGTCTGGTATGTAGTTGGGCAGCTCTGAGTGCCTGGATTTTCTCATCATTCTCTTCACTGTCTCCTGCTAGAACCATTTGAATTTTTTTGTCCAGCTCAAAGCACTGGTTCTCTAGTTCGTCAAACAGTTTCTTAAACACACCCAAGCTAATGTGAAGTCCAGGAACACAAACCTGAAATAGACAACCATTTAGTTAGGTGGCCTGTAATTCCCTCTTCAAAGCAATAAAATAAACTCTTGTATCTTACTTTGTCCAATTGAATGTCCAGCAGTTTCTCGTGAATCACATTGTGATAAAACTTCTGTCGACTTGTAACAGAGCCATCTGCTACAAACTTATCATAATCCTCTTGAATGTTTTCAAGACTTCGTTTTTCAGCATGCCCATGTTTATGGCAAGAGACTTGCATTACTTCATGATTTATCTTGCACCAAAGACATGGATATTTGCCTGCAAATACAATTCTTATGGTGGAAACCTGTTTCACAGAAATAGTTATGTAGAGTAGAGGCTACATTTATATTCTTTTATTGAATTGCTAAATCATTATTATTTGTATATGTGAATTATTGTCTGGATCATACCTGAGGCACCAGCTATTCCAAATAGCTTGCATAGGAACTCATAGTCACCAAACAGGAAAACCACTTTCTTTTTACCTCTAGAAATGGGCAAAACAAAAATAAAAATTTAATTAATATTATGCTATTTCAAGTCTCTATTCTCCCGATTAACTAAAAGTGTGGTAAATTTTTTTTCACTTATGCCCAGGTTGCTTCTTTCAAGGTGTTTACTTGTTCTTTATATTTCATTAAGGCTGTCTTTAAATTAGCCCAACTATCTTTTGCATGGAACATGGCAAAGACCACTGTGTTGGTTTTAGAATTTGGATGCCTCAGGTTAGCAATCTGGAAGGCCATTTTAAATGACCCACCACCAGCATCTCCTCCAAGTTTTATGTGCACTTTATTTTCTGGGATTGCATTGTTCCATGTCAGCCTTCCATTCCTAAAATGATAACCAACTATAATTAGACTATAATTCACAGCAATAGGCAACAGAAAATGATAAGCAACTAGCACAAAATATGTGTGGAGTTCAACATTTTGTCTGGACTGGTTGATCAAGTACCTCTTTGCAAATTGGGCACATATACTCATGCTTGATGTTTTCAACAAACTGTTCTGGGTAAAGAGGTTCTGATCCTCTAAAGCTTTGTAGATTCTTTACCTCCTCAGAGAATGAGAGTGAGGCTGGGTCAGGTTGGAAGCTTAAAGTGCCAGACATTCCTTCCACCATTTCCACTTGTTCCTTGGGTTCAGCTGAGTCCTCTCTGGGTTTTATTCCAGGTTTAGTCTTCTTCTTCCTACCAGGTTTCTGTTGATCCTTAAAGAAACTGCAGATCTTACAGTTTCCAGTGCGTTTGTGTGGAGGCCACACATTGATTGCAAGGCGTGTGCCTCCTCTTAAAGCAAGCTTGTAACACTTGTGGCAGAACTTAGAGGGCACATGTCAAGGTCATCTTTACGAACTTTGACACCAAAGGCTGTGAAAATAATCTCCGTCTAATCGGCGCAAAGAAAACTGTTCTCATACTTATCTTTTGCCTTCTTCAATCGCTCTCCACAAATTCGGCAAATTTTTTTCCAATATTTGTTGATGTTCAGAGAGACCAAAGTTAGCCATCTGAATGCACTAATCGAACCGAGTTGTAAACTAAACTTGGATTAAGCAACGCAGTTCTAAGTTGACTCAAGATATGTTCCGAAGTTCCTTTTTCCGGCCTTTTATTGCTTCAGAAGGGTACATCCTTAGGGTTTGTACCTTGTTTCAGGAAGGGGTGTCTATTTATCTCTCTCGATCGGTTCTTCAGGGGTGCGGGAATATTTGCATTCTTGTGTTATTGCGTGTAGTTCATTCCATTTGAAGGGAGAGGGAATATTCGCCAAAAACCATGTTAATCACGGCCAAGAAGAACGATTTAACTATCAGATCAAAGCACAAATGGTAACATATAATTGTAAGGTTTATTATCCGTGATCATGATTGAAATGTTGACCGAAAGAAACGTCTTGTCCGTGCTTTCACTATTTCAAGTAGCTCCCCGTGACAGATCGATGACATACACTTTTCGGGGAGGAAATCACACGCACGTAGCTCGACTTTCTTGCACATAACAGAAGGCCGTGGACATTTTATCAGTTTGTCATAAATCGTGTATTCTTTGTTTAGCCCATGGGTAAGCATGAGTTCATTCAGAGGATAAATTCGCGTAGTTTAGGGACATTAGTTCGAGGTCAAAGGGGAGATGGACGCCATATTTACTATTTCGGTGGTGATGTGTAATCGCAGATTACACCGCTCAAAACAATTCGGATTAAAACGTCATGGTAAAGAAACTGATGGCAAAGGAGAGACGTAAAGCCTGAGTTGTTCCTTTATTGAAAGAAAAATTCGAATCAATCAGAATCTTGCCTGAAAATAAGAAGACCTCAGAAGGGCGATAAGTCATCTCGCGTCAAAACAAGATGCCATTAAGCCGTCGCATAGTTAACTATCCCGCACACGCAATCTTCCCTAGGAGAACATTAACCAGGGAAGCAAAATACAATGTCTGCGCATAAGTTAGCTATTTCCTTGGGCTTTGCGCATATACTTTTTGCGACCTAGTTATCAGTGGGTTCTTTCTTGTTGAGCCGTTAAACGTACATTTTCAGCGGTTTCAAATTGAAAATGTCAATCTGACATGCGCGAACTAAATTTCCACTGGCGGGCGTTTTGAAACAGCCGTGTGTTAAGCATTCCACCTCCCTTGCTTGAAGTAACAGTTTCGAGATGTATGTATTATTGTCTCATCGGTGACTGATCTTGGATCAATTGAATAGGCCTTCATTTTCAAGGTAAGAAGCTGGATAGAGTGTTTTTAAGTTCGGCATGTACTCTCTATAAACAGAGTCAGGAGTTCTGCATTATTTTAAGAACATGTAGGTCCGGGCGACTAAAGGGAAACATTTTATTGGCGACCTTCATCCACGGTGATTGTGAAAAGCTTTTTTTTCCTTCTTTGGAAAAAAAACCTTGTGACGCTACCACACGATAAAGTAAAAGTGTAGCGCCAAACAATTCAAAAATCTCCTTTTCAAGTATTTATTAGTTAAGGTTACCTCCCACCTTAAGAGACCGAAAAATTAATTTTTCCTTTTATTTACGGAAGCCAAAAACTTTAACCTAACCTAATTAAAATCTCCAAAAGTACCCGAGTTATTTAGAAAAACGTATTTTCAAGTAAAAGGTAATAAATCAGGAAGGTGTGATATAATCTCGCACCTGGGCGTATCCCAGGGGGAAATTTTCGTGGCAACGCTCATCTTGGGGCACGTTTTTCATGTCGTTTACAAATTTTGTTTACATTGCGCACTTGACAAAATTCACGCGTGAAAGCTCTTTGCTTCTGGAAAAATCTTTGCTCATGGAAAAATAAAAAGCAAACGAAAGTCTGTTGAAAAAAGAGAAAGAAAGAGTACCACTCTGTCAAGATTAGCTGGAAAATCCTTGGTGAAAGCGAGCCCCACGCTGGCGTTCAGATTTCAAACAAAGACGTCGCCGTCATATCGAAATTAGTCATACATTAAGTTAAAACCGACGTTTCCTTTTATTTGTCCAAGTATCAGCCATGATACAAAAACATGAACAATCGCCTGGAATCGTGAGTTTGAAAGCTGTCTGCCGATTCGTTGTCTTTCTTCTCAGCACATTTTCTGGTTTTTTCATTTTTGCTGCGGTATCTTTCTTTGCCTTTGGCTTTTTGCCCATTTTTGTGTTGTCCTCCTCAACGCTCCACTAAGCGATCGAGCTAAAAGCAACGTGGCTGCAATGGGTTACTTTTCCCGGGAAATCTTTATCCAACGTCATTGACGCCAGGAGGACTCGTTGTCCCTTTGGCTTGCAGTTTCAGGAGGCGAGATAATCTCCTGGCGTGGCGTGATTTGTTTACGAACATCTATGATTTAAAATCTCGCATTTGATTTTGGCAGGAATACATCCACTTTAAGCGAATTCATAGGGTCTTTATATTAGCCCGATTTTTGCCAAATTTCGCCAGATCATTCCAAGAATAATGTCAAATGAAAGCATGTCGGAAAATTTTGATAACTGAAGTATTAGTCCCGTGGCGTTCATTTACGAAACACGACTCGCATATGTTAGCTACTCCAACTTTAGATAACCAACCATGATCAGAATATCGAAAAAGCCTGACACTCCTAGTTGAATGATGCCTTGTGAATAAGATTGTGTAGCCATCTTGCTTGTGCTACGGCATCTGATACCCGATAAATTCAATAGAAGAACCGTTTTCACCGGTCGTTTCACGCCTTACCGGTGTCACAGCGGATTTGGATCCCCTGCGGATTTGAAATCCCCGGTCCAAATCCGTTAGCGAATATGGACCCCCCCTTCGCAAATTTGGACCCCCCTACCAAACTTTCCTTTTAAGCGACTAAAAGAATGATTCAACGGATCCTCTGAAGGGCGAAAGAGGCCTCCATCAGAGTGTTTATGTTTACCGCGAGCTTTCGTTCGGGACCTCGATTTGCAAATTTTGTTTACATCGCGTTTTTGTACTGCACAGCAGTGAAATCAAAGGTAATTTCCACCTCATTTCGCAAAACGTTCAGAAATGAGGGTCTTCATCAAACGGTCAAAAAGAGAAAAATCGCGAGAATGCCTGAGCCAAAGAAATGACCTTTCCCGCGGACTAGAAAGGGGTTCTTTGTCACAAGACGTACCAGAGAGTTCGGTGTTGCATTTCATTGGTCGGCGGCATGACCGCATTGACACGCGCTTGAAATGAGGTGCGAAAATTGTGATTTTTTTGTTTTCAAGCAATTTACCTCCACTTAAACGAATTTATGGCGTTTGTAGATTTGTTGGATTTTCATGAAAATTGGCCAGAATGTTCGTGAGATAACAACGCACAAAGTGTGTGAAGCTCTGAGGAAATTCGAAATATTTCTCTCGTAACGTCCCGGAGCGTGACAACAACCGAAATATTTCCAATTGCCTAGCTACAAAATAGATTTTCCCAGGAACCAATAGAAATATCAGAAAGGGTAATTTAGTATTCTCAACTGAGCGGATAACGTAAATTGGGCACCGTAGAGAGTTATAAAGCTAACGTTTCGAGCTTTAGCCCTTCGTAACGAGAACACAAGAATAAATTATTTGAATGAAAAGCGCGCGTTGATACCGCGGGGATTACGCCGGTGCCGATTTGTAGTCCTGAATTGAAAGATGCAGCACCACAGATTTCTTAGAAACTTACCCCCCCCCCCTTTATTTATCGGAATATCGAAAAAAGCCTCACACACTTTGCCAGCCCATCATCTGCCGAGTGATGTTGTCCGGTTTTTCTGAGGACCGCGGTAACGCGGAGGCTGGTATATTATTAAGTAAAGTTAACACCATCAGTTTTGTGTTTAAAGGCTCGCGCGCGCCTGCCTAAGCAAAGTCTTTGAAAATTGTTTATTCTCTATACCTAATAAGCCTTACAATGATACATAATTTTCTGTGGTTTCTCTAAAAGTAGTGCGCGTAGGACGATTCATCCGGAAGGCAACTTATTTTGTCGACAGTAAACAATGATGCATGTAACATTTATCAGCTTTTAATGAGCACTACAGCTGGTTACATATGTTGATATTGTAAAAAGTATCGAAGAGTCACCAAAAGAAAAAAATAAATGTGTGGTACAAGCGGCACAGAGAGACTAGAAAAACCAATTTGCATCAAAAACCATTGTTCACCTGTCGACATAGGTGTTAACAGTAGCGCTTTCGATGGAATAAGTCTACTGGTTTTCGCTACTAGAAAACCGCTGAAGGGTTGTGAACAGTATCTGTTCAGTACCAAAACGGTGTTATGGACGGTGTCTGTTCTGTAGGCTCACACCACACATCTGAGCTCTCTCGGCTTCTCAAAAAAGTGTGATTACGATATTAAAATCAACATTCGTTAACTAGACCACTCAGTCAAGACGTAATATGTGGTATTCATTTAGTAGCAATAAGCATTGTATCATTCACTCTACGAAAAAGCATTATGCTGGAAAAAAATGAATGAAATGAAACTGGACAGTGTGGTAGCCAGCTTTACCCCGCAATGGAACCAAGTAGTTCTGGTAATGAAACCGAAACCAAGCGTTCGTGAATTTTCATGGACGGTTTGCGATACTCGTCAAAAGTAGACGGTACCTGTCTTGAACGGTTGACTGCGTCATTCGTGCATTTATTTAGCTGGTGATTACTCGACATCTGTATTTGCACACTAGAAAAGTAACAGGTGACTTTCTAGTCCTTAATCAGGATAAGGTCTTTCTTACGTGTCTGCCACACATGTCCACTTATCGTTAATGGCTATCACTAAATTACATGTTAAATATGATCCAAGGTTAAATAACCACACACTGCATAGCAGAGCAGAAAAAACAGTACTTAAGGGTATAAGAACAGTAAATTAACCTTTCTGACTAATTTTCAACATCAAAAACTAAAACCAGGCATGTGTCACTCTTTTGATTCCGAAAGAACAAGAAGATTGTGCCATGTTAGAACTAACAAACCAACTATCTCAACCTAGAAACCAACTTATTTTTTCAATAAAAAATCAACTTAGACTACCATTGACGTTTTACGTCGGTTATTTTAAATTAGCAAAACACACATGCATTCACAGCTATGCTGTAATCTGAAAGGCTAGTGAACATGTGATCCTTAAATCTGTTCGCATTTCAGCCCAAGGATGTGGACGCCACAATAAAAGGCACATAAACCATCGTTGTAATAGCCAAAAAACTTGAAGACTTGAAGCCTTGCGAAACAAAGTGTTAGAAATAACCACATTAAATCTATTCTTGAACAAATTTTCGCAATGAACACTTTACCTATTAAACACATTTCGTACCGGTATCTATTTCTGGCGGTCACTAATTTCTATAAAAAAATTAATTGAAAATTACCAAATCGAGCGACACAATTATTTTCACCTTGCTCCTCCAGATGTCAATTAATATGTCAAGTGTAATATTGTGACGTTATCTGCACCATTACATTTATGGACAGGATGGCTACTTGACAAAAGGTACTTAAAATCAACCAACCAACTGTATCCTGAAGGTATACCGGTGCAAAGCAAACAAGCTCCTCCTCGTTTAGTACAGTGCATCACGTTCTACCACCTGCACAACGTTGTTGTTTCTTTTTTGTAAATGGTTGTTGACGAAACAATCGATAACCAAGTAATAATTATTGCAGTTTCTTAGATGTTACAAATAACTAAGTCATCAATATTTAAAGTTAGAGAAGGATTGCCTACAATCAAACCCACCGGGCTTAGCTAAATCTTATTTCTAATCGTTATAGTGATTGACATTACCAAAAACTGTCTATTTAAAACAAAATTCTACGTATATTGACATGTACCATACAAAAACCACTTCCTCACCTTCCAATTTTCGACTAAATATGTTAAAATAATTTTCTAAACCAAAATTAAAAAATATACCTCGTTAAACTTTACGGTCGCTACAAAGTGAAGTGTTTAGACTTAAAGAATTTAAGGAAAAATGTCTACAATCGAGCTGCAGGTTGTTCTAGAGGAGAAAGCTACTTGTGTGCAAGGCTACCTTTCCGGTTTATCTATTTATTTATCTATTTATAAACTATGTTGTGAAGCAGATTAAATGCAAAACAACTATTGACGTTCACATCTTAAATTACAAAAATGTACGAGTGAATGATTAGCCAAGACAAAAAACCAAACGTTAACATTGTGAGTTAAAAAAAAATTATGGTGTTTTAACATGATTTTTTTTTTACAAAGAAACAAATCGTAAGTACACGTGCTTCTTATCTAGAATTCTTGTGGTGTTATAAAAACACATCAAGCACAATCTATCCTACATTGAAACAAATATTTATGCCTGAGGAAAAATGACTGAGAAACACGACAATTAACTACTAAGGCTACGATTACCATTATTTTACGACACAACCGCAGCTCTTCTAACGTTTCCTGACTCAGTTAAAACTAAAATCCTGTCTCGTTAGTTGCCTCTGCACTGTCACCTGTGTTCCCAGCAGAGGATTCCTTTTCGTTGCCAGCGGCAGTATTGTTGACAGCTGAAGTGATACTGTCGTTAGGAGGCTCAGCACCTGTGTCGTGAGGGTTTCCCTTCAGAAACTGGGTGATGTCAGCATACTGTGTTTCAGCATAAGCCTCCGGCAGTTTGATCGGAGGCAGGGTTTTGGGGGAAGTGGATACTTCAGGCATTCTCTGCATGTGATGGAATTCACCCAAATCAGCGTAAAGAACTTCACCCGGCTTGGGCTTCTGCGGTTAAAAACAAAAAAGATAATGTCGACCCACTGAAAATAAGTGTCGTTTCCCACCTACTGCAAGATGAACGGAATGTTTATGACTCGTGAAACATAATCTATCTCATGTAAAAGGCATTAAATAACCATTAAAATTTAATGACCCGAGATAAAATAACACCATAGAACTCTAAAGAAACTTCGGAAGAAAACTGGGGTAGTTTCAAGTTATGTCTATTTAAACAGGAGCGGGGAAGAAGTCAGACGGAAAAAAAGGATACAATGTAGGGCTGCCTATAATTTAGCAAAACAAAACAGATAAAAACAAACTGCCTACGTAATTAAACAGATAACAACTAAAAGGACAATAATTGGCCGAAAACCTTTTTTGATTTATTTGACATGTCGACTTCAGCGTAAGTGGCGTCCGGTTCGTTCTTCTTCTTCTTCTTTTTTGACTTGTCCACGACAGCGTACTGATCTTCAGTCGGCTTCTCTTCAGCAGCTTTCTTATCTTTCTTTTTGTCTTTCTTCTTGGACTTGTCCACCAAAGCATAGGTAGGTGTTGCCTCACCACCAACTTCTCCGAGCTCTTGTTCAATTTCTACTGAAGGCTGAGGTCCAGCATTGGCATAACCACTATTCACTTCAGCACATGGATTACCCTCTGACACGGTGCCGGGATTACTGGAACTGACAGAGTGGTGCATGTCAGTGCAATGTTAACATAAAAGTACACTAAAAAAATTAGTTTTTATTAGGTATCATTAAATCCAACTTCGACTGTGAAAAAATTTCTTTCACCACTCACATTCCCTTCTCCCTCAGAAGAGAACATGAATTTACAATACCTAAAGTTAACAGCGCTATTTACAGGGAACATGACTGCCGACGTTATGCGTGAGACGCGACCCCTCCACGTTTGGCCCAGGAGTAGCAGTCCAATTAGGCTGAGATAAGTTAAAAAATAAACGAGACCCTATAAGGACCCGACTGAATAAAAGACGATCGTTTAGTGCACTGGTTGAGGCATAAGTATAAGCATCCTCCATAAACTATTACATCAAGAGAAGCGGTAAGAGGGGCGTTTTTGAGGGGATGGTTATCACAAAATTGGTTTAAGGAGGTGCGCCTTTAAAGAGTGAGGCCTATCACAGCTTAAACTTACGATATTTTTACGATTTTACGTAAAATTACGAAATTTGTGTGGAGACACGCTCTCTTAAATATTTTTCGTTCTCTTATTACACCATATCAAAATTATGGTCTGATTGCTTGGGGCCAAGCGCGTAAATCGAACTTTGACAAGCTTCTTAAGCTCCGAAAACGTGCTCTCCGTTTTCTGATCGCAACGAGCGTGAAATTCCTCAATTTACTGATGCCGGTGTTTTACCTTAACAATTCTCCTACAATGAACTTACAGCCAATTTAATCTTTGACATCAGACATAGAAATGCACCTTGCAGCATTCAAGAACAACTCCAAGATATTTCTGAGATCCATTCTTATCAAACCCGATCTTCTGCTTCTAACAACTTTTATAAACAAAGCTCTAGACTATCAATTCGACTACATTCTTTCTCCAGACTTAGAACAAAAGTTTTGAATGAGATGCCCTCAAAATTAAGAAATCTTTCAAAAAATGAGTTCAAAAAGGCAATGAAAAGAAAACTCTGACATTCTCACTTTAGAAGACTCTTATATTGACACTCAACAAATCATTCAAAGAGTCAAGCTTTCCTGAAATGTTTTAACCGAGTCTAGCATGTTATTTTTAGCTGCCACAATGTTATATCCTTAGTTAGTCCCGAAGTTAATCTTTGAAAAAATGACTCGTGACTCAACTGCCTTTGAAATCATGCGAACATTTGTCCTAATACGAACACCTCGCCAATAAATCTCCCTCTTCTATATGCTCCCCGTCTAGAAGCCCTGGTAATGAATTCCACCTCCCCCCTGCCCCCTCCTTCCGCGAGACCAAGAGGACCGTGAACGATAAAATTAGAGTCGAATGGGAAAAAAAGGAACATTTTTTTCATTTCTTTTTCTTTTAATTACAGGGGCATAACTTTGAATTACTTACAATGCCTGCCGCTCGTCGGTCTCACTGTGAACTAGAAAATTAAAAACAATAAAGTGCCACATAATAATCTTAAAAGTTAAGTTTCGTAATTCCTATTCAAAATCAATTTTTATAGCTCTTTTGCTTCCTTTTCGGTACATGACTGTAGTTTATCTACACAGGGCCAGCTGCATTAAGGTAACTCTTCCGCCCAAGATAACAGTGAAAATTTGCCAATTATCAAATTGAAGTCCTCAAATTAATATCTAGCAACGCCGTCAAACCTTGGAGGAGGTATGAACGGTGACAAAGCTGCAACTGGTTTTTACTCATGACCCAAGGTAACGAAACTACCCTTTAACTTACTTCGCAGCATATCATTACATCAACCGACGACGAAATAAAACAATGCAACATTCTAAGATGCAAAAACAAAAAAAAACAAAAAAAACAAAAAACCAAAAAACCAAAAAAAAAAAAAAAATATATAAATATATATATACATATATATATACAGTATTTGATTGTAACTCCTGAGTTGTCAAATAAGGAGAGCATTATGTACTTACTTCTTTTGTCTTTTCGCGTGCACTTTCTCCTTTTGTGTACAAAGTAGATGATTATTATGATAACAGCACAAGGAAACAGTACTCCAGTGACAATTAAGACAATCCAAACAGTTTTAACTAAAAATAAAACGAACATTTCCTCTAGGCTATCTCATAATCACATGTCCGCTAAAAGTGATCAAAAAAACAAACAACAGTTCAGACCTCCCTTTCACTCTCTAAAGGTGACGCTCAATAACAATCCGTACCTTAGCAACATAATTGAAATTAAACTGAAAATAATGAGACATAAACAAAAAAAACTTCAAGACGTTTCCTCCTGCATTCCGAAAAAAAATTTAGCGAGTAATAAACTATAAAGCAAGCACTACATGAAACTCTGTATAGTTTACTAAAAATATAGCCTGCGCAAGTTAACAAAAATGAGCGAGTATTTATCTCCGAATTCCATCAGCCGGAGGGAGTTAGGCTGGGTGGCTAGGTAGCTAGGGAAAAAGGCAACCAGCATCACAAGTGTGTACATGTCTAAACGTTGAAATCCGCGCCTATCCTGATCAAAATCGCAACGAGTTATTATTGTGGGCTAACCACTAATGGCGATAAGTAGAAAATCGAAGGGCAACTGGAGAGCGACTCCCCGATTCTCGTCACGCTCCTTCCCAATATGTGATTGACGCTGTATCCAGTGTGAAGAAAATAAACCTATTATTAAATCGTGACCTTTTTCGCACTGTTAAGACTTTTTTAATATTGCTAGCAGCCGTGGCCTATTTCCTTGGCCTTCGTTCAAATTCTAACAATTTCTTCGTGATAAAAATGACTGAAATCATATCTAATAATATTGGCGCTAGTCCTTTTCCTCATGTTCCACCGATGGAAGTTACAAAAAACAAGTGACACGGTAGAGGGTACTAACAAACCCGGAAGATTACCATTCACTAATGTTTGGGACGTTAAAAGCTATCACAGCGAAATCTAACACATAGCACAAAACCCAAAATAGCCAAATATCTTAATAAGATAATGCATACCTGTCTTGCAAATCTGGTCATCCTCATAGAAACCACTGCAATTCTTCTTTGCTGCAAAACGAATAAAAATAAAGATTTTTATTCGAAACAGAGTTACCTGTAAATATCTATTGGGTTTCCGTTTTATGAAAACAAAATCGATAGTTGCTAAAGTACAGTTCAAAACTGTGCGAAATTTTAAAATTCTGATTCTCTTTGGAAAGAAAACACAAAGAAGAAGGTAAATGATGTGCAGGAGGTGAAATTCATTAGCCAAGTTGTATACATAAAGAAGAATACTGCCTTCATAATCGGACTTTTTTACTTCTCCACGACATCAAATTGGCACAGTATGCTGAAATGTAAGCTTTGACATAAGGTTGAGTCTATATTAAGTGGCACTGTACTAAGAGGTCACCCGCCATTAAACAGTCTGTAATCAAAGTCATGAATTTCTTATGACCCTGTAAAAGACAACCTTAGACGCTAAAACAAACCAACATACAAGTAAAACGTATCAAAACGAAGACAAACAATTCCGCTGAGCCCATGTCCCTCTTCAAAAGAGCCAGTCACCTCCCATACTCTTGGCTTACCGGGGATATTCTCTGCAACTTCAATTGAATCAACTTCGCCTAATTGCCCCTTTCTGACAGCTTCCTGAAGCATCGATGTTAATGCCTCTTGTCCCATAGGATTCTCGAATGAGAGACGGAAGTATATAATTATACTTCCCGGCCTGCGGAGGAAAAGCCAGAAATAAGAAATGGTAATCACGTGGTGCAGTACCTGAAGTACCCATCTCTTATATCTAAAAGACAAAATATAAATATTGCTTCAGAACAATGTGATCTATCAATTGTTATAATATTTCAACTAATCAGAGCAGGCTTTAAGGTTAAGGTTGAAAGATATAGCGTTAATCCCTACCAAAATTCAAGTTTTATATTTCAAATACAACCTTCAAGTTGTGATTTGAATTTAACGCTTGACTGACTCAAAGCTCATGCGCGCGAAATGTTTACCTAACCAGTATGCTTTGCTAGTGTACACGGGACATTGGGGTCTGTCTGAGCACAAATGATGGAGAACAACCGTTCCCAATCCTCGGCTGAGATGACTGACCAATTTTCGAATAGGTAAGAATCCCGAATCGGACGGCATTCTTCGGTTTTATTCAAAAGTGCTGACGGGCATGCAGGACTCCCAACATTCACGAGCGATTTTAAATATTTTCCCTTCAAAGTTTAGCTCTGACCAGGGTATCTGACAATGACTTTCCTTTGTACATGGTAATTGGGATGGCTCCATAAATATTACTCTTTAACACGGTTGGTTTTGAATAAGATGCCACGTCCCCATCAGCATCTTAAGGTTAGGTAAAGCCGGACGGTATAGTGTTACATAAGGCGATATTTTTTTTGTGTAAGCCATTTTCTTTGTTTGTAAGAGACCTTTCACTGCGGGGAAAAATAACTTCAGAGATACGTGTCCTCTATTCTTTAAGCGTATTGTGAAACTCTGTACGTCATTATTGAACGAGGAGCTTGACCAATAGCGCCGCGCAGACTCTAAAATAGACTACGTCAGATCAGACCCCCGCGTGACTCAGACAAAACATTGCATATCGCTCAAAAGATGCGTATTTTAAACTCTGTACGTTTTTGATTTTATTTGGAGCGTGACCGATTTGTTCTTAGCCTCCAGGAGGCGTAGCGCTTAAGACGCTTCTCCTGTAATGAATCTTTCTTTTACGCTTGATGTTTGAACTTGGATTGATTGTAATAAGGTATGAATTTGAAAGCAAAAGAGGGTTTGTGTTAATGAAAGTTCACTTCTGAATCCATCTGCAATCTGTAAACATAACGTTTAACAGAAAAACTTGAATGTTGATGATAAAGCTTTAATTTCGGTAGGGATTTAACCCCATAGATAGATTCGAGTCGCTTACAGAATATGTATTCCTTAAAAACGGTAAAGACACGTTTAATCACTGGGAATTGTTTAACCCTAACGAAACTCTTTTTCTAATTTCCAGTGAAGTGTGAAGTGTGCTCACACATTCTCAGCAGTACGTTAACTTATCATCCAACTGCACTCGGCAGACTTCAAATTATGTTCTACACTACTTCAAATATCCTGCGATATGGTGGAGTTGTTTATTTCATGTTGTCATGTTTATTTTGCTACTTTGGACCTTGCGAGATCATCCGCACCACAATTATCATCAAGAAATACCTCGTTTGTTCGCGGGAGTTTAAGGGGCAAAGTGGAACAAAAGATGATCCCAAAGAGCGGTGAGCACAAAACTCGAGTTTTAAGATAGCCGATATCTCTTCTGAATAAGGCTTTGAATGCTTCATTCCCATTTTGACAGACAAATTTTACTTAACCAGCCAATTTTAACGACAATTTGTTCTAAGAGAAGACGTATCCTGTGATAAAGGCGACGTTACCAACTTGTTAACTTTTTTCAAACGACAGATCACTAAAAGCTCGACCAAAACCTGGTCAGGAACCTCTGGATTCTTCTCTTCCTCTTCTTCTAGGTGGTGGTAGAAGAGAAGAGGGGATTTGACCTTCCCTTCCAAGGGATGCTTAAAGTTCATCGACCGACATGCCTGAAAATGTCACACAACAGAAGAAGAAACAAACAAACAAATTTTTTTCTCGTTTTTGGCTAATTTCTTACCAAAACGGTTTGAGTTGTGGGACTTGGCATCTTAACAATTTTACTGGAAACGAAATAGGAAAGCCTGGACTATATGTATTTGACCCTTTCCCCCGGATTTTACTCAATCCAATCAAATGTCGACTATAAAATATCACTTCTAATCTCGGGAATTCTTTTTCGTGTAATGGAAGAAGTGCCTTTCTGAAAATCTTGATTTCGTGATTAAGCAAAAGCAACTCTGAATTAAGTAAAAGAATAATGACAGAGCCCCGAGGCTACAGAACCAAGTTTTGACATAAATATAGAGGGCCGTATTCAATACAAATAATAATAACATTCATGCCTCTATGTAGCGCATTCTCCATATGAATGCCCTAGTACGCTTTATAAACAAAGAAAATGTGAAAAGGTCTAGACTTCTTGAAAGACTGGAATCTATGGTACATATATCTTAACTGTATCATGCAGTGCAATTACTTTAAATTCAGAATTTATCTCATCTCAAATGAAAAATATTTGAAGGTCCTAGAAGGACCAACATTGTACAGACCTTTCGTTATACCAGTGACCGTGTGTGTGTGGGTGCGTGTGTGTGGCTGATGCTGTGGCTGATGCTGTGGCTGAGTAGGTTGTGGGTGCATCTGCAATGGTCGCATGCGCTTGCGGTTATGGAGAATCCCAGAGGTCAACATCTCTCATGCTAATCACAGAACAGGTGAAAAATTTATCTTTATTGCATTTTCTGTTAAAAAGGGTTTTCACAGTAGAAAGGATTAACGTTGACATTTTTACTAAAGAAAGGGATACAATAAACTTACCTTAATTCAATTTTGTGAACTACATGTTTATGACATTCTGGAATCACTTTCTTGATCTAAAGTGGAGCAAAAACTCGTAATTATGAGACGAGACGCTCATTCTTAGAAAACAAAAAGTGTGGTTAAGAGTGCTTTTGGTAACTGGGGTTATCGAAAGCTGACAACAGAAAACTTAACATAACTCTCAAATTTTGATTGCTTTCTCCTTTTCATTACAATTTCTGCTATGTATGTCTCACCTTGTTTTTAAATTCCTCATCTTTGTCCCGGAATTCCTTACTGTTGTCGTCATTTAATTTCGCAGTGAGTTTCGAATTTTTTTCTCTTATCATGAAAGTAAATTCTGTGTTTAAATTACCTGAGAAGAATCACAAATAATACACAATATTAACACGTGTTGATTATCACTTGAATGAAATGGCCTTAGCTAAACACTCTCACAGAAGACTGGCATTCTTAAACTTTTTCCCGTACATGGAAAGTGTCGAAGCGGATTGGTCAAGCAAATGTCGGCGATTTCAACAATGAACAAATGACCGCCTAAGGATAGTCTAAAGTAGCCGAGCGACTAAACGGCGTGAAAAAGGCTAATCACCAGACCCCTTTGTTTAGGTCTTCCGCTGTTTAAAATGCTACGACTACTAGAGAAATAGTGCCCTAATCAGATTTTCATTCCTTGAAGGGTAAGTTCCATTTTACACTCGCTGTCAACAATTAACACAGAGTCAGTTATGTTAAATTTTGTTCATCAGTCGATTATAATACTTAAAATTACGTGTACATATCTAAGTTCTTAACTTACCAAAAACTCAACACAAGTGAGCTTAGAGATATTCCTCCCACATATACTTAAAGTTCATCACATCAGTCTGCAAAGATTCCTGCACCATACAAGTACTTTAATTTATATTCAGAAATTGTAGACATCGTATAAGTAACAGTAAGAAACTTACGATTTACAACAAGAAGAAACGTTGAGTTGTCGGGCTCACCAATTCCATTGTCAACAGTACACGTATATCTGTATTCTCCGGTAATCTGGTGTGTAACAGTGATACTGGATTTGTTAGAACTTAGACTTTTCCCTCCTTCAGCCCACGAAATGTTTGGTCGGGGATTCCCTTCTACAGAACAGTCCATGATAAATAGATCTCCTATTTTACGATACTCTGGGCAGTTATTGGACTTCCGTGTAGTTTCTCCTGGAACTAAAAAAAAAGCAAATACAAGTTCGTAGTAATTAGCAATCAATTTGATTAAACGGTTGTGGTTATTCACTGTAGTAAATACACTAATTGAGATGTTATAGCTTGTCCGACGATGTGATCATTTCCAATGGCAATCGATCACCCCTGATGAAGGCACTAGACAGGAATGTCGACATGTTGGGTCTATGAATTGTAATTTCTCGATTACATTAATTAAATCTTTGAACCAGAGTAGTATCAAACCATATCTGATTGTTCACCTGGTTGCCTTATGAACTTTAATAAATGCTAGACAAATAAAAGTACTCCATTACTAGTACAGTACTGTTTAAGTGGTCAGTAATAATAAAACAGGTTCGATGGCTGAGGTTCTGTCATTGAGCAATACTTCCTTGAGCAAATGTGAACATCCTCCGAAAGAAAACACGGCGGGCGTCTCCTGTACAAACGGCTTTCTATTACAACTAATGACGGCGTGGAATTTATCAAAACGCGAAATGAAATAGGAAAAAAGAACTATTTCGAGAAATTTCCCTTGTGAAACCACTTTTCGCACTTCTAAAACGATCACGATCACTTTCGAAGCCAGAAATATAATGAGGTCTTTTCTCTTTTGCTTCCGAAGTGACAGAGATCTGATTCAGAAAGGAGACTAGCAAACTGTGAAACACTCCTCTCATTTCGCAACGCAACTGGAAGCTTCTTTAGGTAATGCTTTTCGTGTGAGTTAACAGCGAACACAATCACGTTACGAAGACGCATGTCGCAAATTTCAAGAATGAATATGCGTATTACGTAATGTGTCACCTTAATTACTTAAAACACCTGAATCCAAGAGGAACTTTGTCTGTCTGCACCAATTAATTGATGACAAGAAATTATACTGAATTTTAGTGGATCACTTTTCGGCTTTCCACGTTGATTTTTCTCTTAGGCAACCAGTTTCCCCTGCACTAAGAGTATTCTCGTAGGAAAGAGTTGACTCTATCACCATGTAAGGAGTTTTGAGGTCGTTTTCAATGTCATTGTAAATTATTTATCCTTTAACAAGAGACCTTTAATCATTAGTGCGTTCAAATTGTGACAAAGTTAACACACCTTGCCTCAAAACATATTCTATGCCGGTTTTTTTCTTTCTTTTCTGTTTGTAAATCGCCCCTAATTGGGGCGATTGTGTTTCGGTGTACAGTAATTACATTAACCTCATATCTTCCTTACAGTGGCGGTGAAATAAGGACAAAAACAAATAAACGAAAGCGTAATCACACTTATGTATTGCATTTGGAACCTGATATGTTCAGAAAATCCTCAATCAATACCACTGATCTTGCCTCCACGAAGGTAACATAAGGATCCCTCAAACCTTCGTTTCACAGTAAAGATTTCAAAACTTTGTTTCTTTACCTTCACTCTATAGTGATTACATTACTTCATGGCATACTCAACTCCTACCAATGAAACCGCTGATTATTGATGAAAGACACCCAAGCTTGTCTTGACAACGCTACATCTACCAGCAATAGGTTTAAATTTAAATTAAAACCGATATATTATTTCTTTAACACAAACACACATAGCCACCAGTAACGGCCAATTTACAATTTTACTTCCGGAACAGCAACAGATTTAAACATAAAAGATATTACAGAATAGGTATTGGAAAATTTATAAACAATTACATCATGATGGCTCAGAAATCTTGTGGTTTTCATTTGAGATAAAATACAATACAGATATATATATAAATCATAATTCACATGATTGTGACGTACATGCTTTTACTGTGAGACCTGCCTCCATTACTTGCAGTAACAGTAAAACTGTACTAACACTCACATTTCACATCGACATATGTGCTTTTTCTATCATGCCCACAGAAGTTGCTTGCCTCACAGATGTATTCTCCACGTCCTTGCCTGGTAATATTTGTGATCGTCCAAGTTTTACCATTTTTTATTCCACTTCTGTTTATGCGTGTCCAAGTGACAGTTGGAGAGGACCCAGACACAACACAGTCAAGAGTCAAATTTCTGTATTCTATGACAGAATGACTACTCATGTCTGAAATGGATGCTGGGGCTGTCAAATGTGAAACAGTGACAGATGTTACTAAAATTTAAGACAACTGCATCTCATGCAGTTGAAAACAGGAGTTCACAATAGATGTAAAAATAAACATATAGCTTTGGATAAACATAAACACTTTGTCTAACAGCAACAGCTTGTCTTACCAATCACAGTAACAACGACAGTATTACTCTCTTCGTGTCCAACAGAATTATTAGCCACACAGCTGTATCTGTATTCCCCTTCATGAAACATTGTCTTGGTCCAGGATCCATCTGGATTTTCATCAGTACTATTTATGTCGTTCTCATACAATTGGTAGCTGTGAACTTCAGGGTTTGCTTTAGCATTACAGGTAAATGATATTGATGAATTTTGACAGACTTTGGTCTCATTGACTCTCAGTGTGACATCTGTGGGTTTAACTATAAAACAAAAGGCAACAAAAGCAAGCATCATAACCATTGCTTGAACATTTCATAAATTGATGTAAACACATTGTATTCTAGCACCTTAAATAAAGATTAAAATTTCCCCATGCAAACCTGCATTTTGCTTCATTATCCTGCCTTGAAGGTTTTAATTTAAATTAAGGCTAATTAGTTTCCTTTAAATGCTCCAATCCCTTTTTTTTTGTTAAATAAGTACATTATGTTTTTTTTTGCCCCTGGAAAACCATTGATATTGTCTTAACTTTAAGAACATATCTGCAAATCACAACGTCTGATAAAAACTGTTGTATAAAGGATCTACCAAATGTATCAATAAGAAATGACACTCCAGGGAGTTCAGCTTGCTTTCCTTGCCCGTTTCTACATTTTAACTGAAATTCAAATTTAAACAATGAAGTTTTGCATTCTAGGCTAAAACAAGTTACTTAGTGAAGGAGTCTAAAAGGAAATTTTAGAGTCCTAGCTTCTTGGTGTTAGGTTTTTAGATGGAGTAAATTTATGTATTTCAAGGTCATCAATATGGCGTGATGCCATATCACATCTTGATCAAATTTCAACAAATTGGTTTTTGTTTATTTTTTTCTCATCAGGTGAGATACAAAATTTATCTGTCAAGACAGACCGTCCCATAATTATATTTTTGCCGCACCTCTAAGCTTAAATTAGATTTCAGTTATTTCCATTAGAAGTATGATATTGAATTCACAGATCACTATATCTAGTTTCTTTTGATACACTCAAAACAATGAATACAAATGAGTGCACTTAGAAGTTTCCTGATATAACATGGTTTTGATGTTAAAACCTTTTTCTGCACTTCTGTCAAAACACTTGCACCTAAAAGGAAAACGCTGACATATGACAAAAAAAGCTACAGCAAAACTGTACTAAAACTCACATTCCACATCAACATATGTGCCTTTTCTATCAAGTCCACAGAAGTTGCTTGCTTCACAAATGTAACCCCCATGTTCTTGTATGGTGATATTCGTGATGTTCCAAGTTTTCCCTTTCTTTATTTTACTGCTGTTTATGTGTGTCCAAGTGACATTTGGAGAGGACCCCGCCACAACACATTCAAGAGTCAAATTTCCACCCTCTATAACAGAATGATGCTTATTCATGTCTGCTATTGTCACTGGAGCTGTCAAATGAGAATAGTGACAGTTGTTAGTAAACTTTTAGACCATGGCACCTCGTGCTGTTGAAAACAATTAAAAGTTCATAATAGATGGAAAAAGGAACACATAGCTTTGGACAAGATAAATATGGACACTTTGTCTAACAGCAACAGCTTGTCTTACCAATAACAGTAACAATGACAGTATTACTCTCTTCGTGTCCAATAGAATTATTAGCCACACAGCTGTATCTGTATCTCCCTTTATGAAACATTGTCTTGGTCCAGGATCCATCTGGATTTTCATCAGTACTATTTATGTCATTCTCATACAATTGGTAGCTGTGAACTTCAGGGTTTGCTTTAGCCTTACAGGTAAATGATATTGATGAATTTTGACAGACTTTGGTCTCATTGACTCTCAGTGTGACATCTGTGGGTTTGACTATAAAACAAATGGCAATAAAAGTAAGGATCACAACCATTGCTTGAATATATTGTAAATTGATGTATACAAATTGTATGCCAGCACCTTGTAATAAGGAAAAAATCCGCAAATAAGAACATGCATTTTGCTACAACATATAGATTGAAAGATTGTATTTCAGTTGGTGTTCGCTACCATATGTAGGCTGTTAAACTTCTTTGATATACTCCAATTTTTTAAAGCACTCAATGTTTTTGTTGCTGGAAGGTCACTGGTAATGCCTAAAGGTAAAGGAATTTATGGAAACAAGAACATCTAGTAATGACCATAAATATCTGCAAAATGTATTTAAAAAGGTGACATTCCAAGGAGTTTAGCTAATTGTATTCATTTCCCATTTCTAAATTTAATGAATTCAATAAAATAAGAACCAGTTCCGAATTCTAGGCTAAAACAAGTTTCTTAGTAAAGCCAATTATACCTGACAAAAAAGCTGAGGTAAAACAGTACTAAAACTCACATTTCACATTGACATATGTGCTTTTTCTATTATGCCCACAGAAGTTGCTTGCATCACAAACGTATTCTCCATGTCCTTGCCTGGTAATACTCGTGATAATCCAAGTTTTTCCATATTTTGTTACATTGCTGTTTATGTGTGTCCAAAAGACAATTGGAGAGGACCCAGACACATCACACTCAAGAGTCAAATTTCTGCCTTCTATGACAGAATGATTGCTCATGT